GGGCGGAGACACACAATTGCCGACATTATTCACGCCATATATCGCTAATCGAGCAGGTGTTACAATTGATGAGCTATTGGTTTCCGTCCCCGTAGCTACATTTATAGCAAGCTCTCCAGATAACCTGAATGTCTTTGGTCAGATATCCAGTCGGTTCATAGGATTCATACTGCTGAAGTGTCCCCAAAGTAAGAACGTAAAAGCTGTCCAGTAGTCTCTGGTTTTCAGTGATTCCTCTTGAAAGCTTCCAATTAATTTTTATGCAAACGCAAACAACTATAGTTATAACCTATCCATCCAAATTCACCCTACTAAAATCCAATAGGCTTAATTAAATGGTTTTTGTATCAAACGGAATTCGGATGTTAATGAATGTATTTTTTTTGTCTTCACTTGATTAGACCAAAACAAGAAACAATTTATATAGGCTCTTTCATTCCCCTCCATGGCGTGATATACTGTGGAAAAAATAGAGGACATAATAAAATTCATGTTGTCCGTTGATCAAAATGGTACACTCAAAAGATAGTCAGTCAATTAGTTAGTCATTGTACAAAGTTGTGTATCCCTCACCATCTAATCAGGGTTTATTTTTCCTATGAGAATGAAAAATGACATCGATGCGATGATAAAAGTCAAAAGAAGACAGTCAAGTGAGCAAAGAATATTCTTCTCATAATTTCACTTTGAAGGTGTACAGTAACACAGTGTTTCCAAACTATCCTGGGAACGCCTATAAACGTCAGTTGTCATTATCTAATGGCAACCAAACAAATGAAGCACTACATATCACGAGAAAAACAATGAGTTGTAGATATTAGATGGTTGCAGGGAGTCGGCCAAAGGAAGCTTTGCTTCAGCTCGGTTTCGTGCTAGTTGGCACTCATCAGCTGGCGAGGCATATCTGCAATCTCCGTGAAGGAACTCATGTTTCTTCTGATGTTGAGCCACCTGGAATGATGGCCACATTACATACTTGACTGATAGAATTCAATCTGCAGTAAACAAAGGACTAGATACATTACACTCGTCACTCACTAGTGTCCAACCAAAAATATCCAATACAATCCTACAGGAGGTCAATGGTGAGTCACCCGGAATAGCTCAGTGGTAACGTCTCTGATTGCAGCACTGGGTGACGCAGGTCGAGCAACGCTTCCTGTGGCCGACTCTCTCCAAACATCTAATATCAACAACTCATTGTTTTTCTCGTGATATGTAGTGCTTCATTTGTTTGGTTGCCATTAGATAATGACAACTGACGTTTATAGGCGTTCCCAGGATAGTTTGGAAACACTGTGTTACTGTACACCTTCAAAGTGAAATTATGAGAAGAATATTCTTTGCTCACTTGACTGTCTTCTTTTGACTTTTATCATCGCATCGATGTCATTTTTCATTCTCATAGGAAAAATAAACCCTGATTAGATGGTGAGGGATACACAACTTTGTACAATGACTAACTAATTGACTGACTATCTTTTGAGTGTACCATTTTGATCAACGGACAACATGAATTTTATTATGTCCTCTTTTTTTCCCACAGTATATCACGCCATAGAGGGGGGAAAGAAAGCGTCTACATAGTTTATTTCTTTTTCTGGTCTAATCAACTGAAGAAAAAAAATACATTCATTAACATCCGAATTCCGTTTGATAAAAAAACATATTCAATTAAGCCTATTGGATTTTAGTAGGGCGAATTTGGACGGATGGGTTGTAAAGTTGTTTGTGTTGCATAAAAATTAATTAGAAGATTTCAAGAGGAATCGATGAAAACCAGAGAGTACTGGTCAGGTTTTACGTACTTACTTGGGGTTACCTCAACAGTACGAACCGTATGACCCTACCGGAAATCGGACCCAAGACATTCAGGTTATCTGAAGAGCTTGCTATAAATGTGGCTACTGCAACAGAAACCAATAGTTCATCTATTTTAGGACCTTCGCGGTTCTCGATATATAGCGCGAACGTTATCGGCATGTATTTGTCTCCGCACCTAACTTGGGTGAGACCGCTGGTCACGATGCCTTACTACAGCTTCAAGCAGCTTCATCGTCGTGTATATATATATCGCGAATTGGAGGCAGTTAGAACTGATGGGTCATGGAATTTCCCCTCATTGGGTGAATGCTCAACAAGCCTTGGGATTGTGGATGCGTACCGAGGAAGAGTCCTAAAAAGTGCGAAATACTTGTTGAGCACTCCCTTATTTTTGACAGTTCTGTACCTTTAATCATTCCGTGATCAAACTTTAAGTTAGCTAACTCCCTGCAAACCAATACTTGAACAATTACGACTCATTATAAAATACTTTTAAGAAATTTCAAAATACACATTTCTGTAAAGGAAAAATATTCTTTCCGATATCTTTTTCATCAAATTCTACCGCAAGAATTACAACTACCTCGATTAGCCGTTGAAGTTCTAAGCAATTTAGTGGAAAATAAATGTCCAGTTATCTCTACCCACAGAACACTATTCAGATTGTTGAATACGTCACTACAGCAAAACTGGATATTACCCGTTCTTCTCAAAATTATTTACCTTCTAAGGACTCCTTAGGTTTATTCAAAAAAATCAATTGAAGATTTCATGTTTGACCATTAACTGTCTTCATCTAGAGAAACCATTGAAAAACAGAGAGAACTGGACATCTGTTTCATCTTGGTTTGGGAGTCTTTCAGAATACACGCCGTTGAGTCGACCAGGAATCAAACTCAAAACCTATAAGTTACTAGACCTGTTAGTCCACCATCTAGCCACTGGCAAGGTGTCCAATGATCAATCAGTGTTGATTTCTGTAAATTCGAGACATGCCGTGTAAATGTCTTGGGCGATCACTTGTTTCAGCACCCAGGTTTGTGAACGCTACTGGTCACAATTTCTCACTACAACTTTAGGTAACTTGATCATCGCGGGTCGGAAGAAGTTAGAATTGATGATGCATTCAATTCCATGCAATTGGTTGAATGGTCTGAGAGCTCGCCTCAACTTGCATCTGATCCCTAGAGGTGGGGTAGTGGCCGCCGCTTAACAATGAAGATTCACAAACAAGTTGAGAAACAACTGTTCAGTACTCTGCACAAACTAATACTTGAAAACTTGAATATTGATTAAAATAATCGCTTTTTGTAGAACTTTCAAAAGTGAGATCAGTGTGAACAGAGAATGTTCTTTCCGATATCTTTGTCATCAAATTCTACATTTAAATATACATTAATATTTAAATATGTTTATAAAAATATCCGTAATAGTTAGAAATTTATTATTATTGACAACATTAATGTGTTTTTGTAAAATAACATTGAAGCATTGTGATAACAGGGTGTTTGGAGATTACCTCACATTGCCATAACATAATCAGAGGCAACCAAATACATAATATGTATAAAGATAACATAAAAGTGAACATCAGATTTCATTAAGAAATGATTGTAAATAACATCGACTATGATAGGGGTGAATTTCGATGCTTTGTTTGAGAAGTAATTTAAGTCTAACTTGGCCTTCTGTGGAGTCGATAAATTCATGAATTCGTTAATGCCTTTAATACTTGGTTGACTATCACCACATTCGAAAGCTTATCGAATTCCACACAGTGTTTTTCTAACGTTCTTCTTCCCACAGTTCTGTTCTTTGATTACTTTTTCCAGTGTCGGAAACATATATTGTTGCTTTTCTGAACTCGATTACTGATATACTACTTATATCAGATTATAAGTAGCACTCACCACAGTGGGACTAGAAGTCATTATAAAAAGATTGTATGCTCGCTGGCACAACGAAGTATAAAAGCTCATTGATACTATATTTGGCCGGTGTTCAGTGTAACAGAGCTGGTATTAAGCGTGAAAATTAAAACCTAATATGTTATTAACAAAATAGTGGGCTCTTTTATTCTCTTCTATTTGTAATTTACAGTGATACTATTTCAATTAATTTATAATTTTAGCTATTAACATTAATAGCATTATTTTACGCATTTTGTACACCCTTGACTTTACTGTCACTGCTGATACGAAAAACAACTGGTAATATCAATTTTCGTCACCTACACCCTGCGTCGGTAGCACAGTGGTTACGACTCTCGTCGACCATGCACATGGTCCGGGGTTCGATCCCCTGCCGACGCACACCTGATATCTATGGTCGGCCTGCAAAATTTGGGCTACCGATATCGCATGCTGAAAATTCCATACCTGTACCAAAAAATACGGTGTGGAATCAAGCTGTAATCAAAAATAAAAATAATGCATGCAGTCAGAAATATTTTAGTAGTTGTTTTCGACTGCTTCAGATCTTCCACTCTTGATGTCACTCTTGTGTTCATCGGAAGTCATCAGTAAATCTGAACAGATCTTTCAGGTACCAGGCTGTATTAGTCACAGTCATATCATTGTCTAAGCTGAAGTTTGTGAAACAGGATTCCAACTAGCGGCCGACTGATTTACAGGTAAATGTTTAGGCAAATGGTCCATAGTATTGTGTAATCAAATATTGATTGAAGTTGATACGGTAACAAGCGACTGATTGACTCCACTTTGCTGATGAAAACTTCCGACACGTCTCATTATGGAATTCTTCCCTACAATTTCTCTAAATGTTAGAGAATTTATTTTCATTGTATCACTGGTCCGCTAATAGAATTCCGGCCAATCATGAATGTGGCTCGAAGTTCGATTCCAGATCGACAGACATCTGAACTCGCTTAGCCAGTAGTAATCCCGGTAGTTGAAGGAAGGTTGGAAGTGAAGCTAGCAACCATCCCTTCTTCTTCCGATCCTGTTAAAAGACAAACACCAGCTTCTACTGGAACTTTAGAGTTGACAGCTTGAAGGCCCATTGTACTTCACTCATAGCGTAAGAGGAATGCGAAAGTAGCCGAAGTATTTACAGTCTGGTTTGTTTTTCTGTGAATATATTTAAATATGAATGAAATATGTTAAAATAATAATCGCTTCTTTGTTCTTTTATCTTCTCTTCTACCTGTAATTTAGTCAATGTTTCGATCACATGGTACCCTTTCAAGATCTTTGATTACAAAACTTCGTGATAAATTCACCCAACAGTTAGAAAATGGTTTCGACGGATAATGAATGACGATGGTCGTGATGATGATGATGACAATTATTTCTCTCTTTCTCTCTCTCCCTCTCCCTCTCTCTTCTCAACCATGACAATAACCTCACGCATGCTCTTCGTCACTGTGTTTGTCAATCATGGCTGCTGAATAATATTAAATAATATTTTAAAAAACAAGCTATTTTCAACTTTTGTGTTTCAATTTTTTAAAATTATTTTAATTTTACCGCTTTAATTTTACTTCCGTTTATTGTTTCATTTAAACAAACTGATGCCTACCCCCTTAACTCACAAGAAAAGAACATATGTATTTTATAATGCAGTTTATATTTCTCTGCTCATCACTACTTCCGTCCATCAATTATTCATCACTCACAGTCGGCTATTAATTTATTGAATTTTTAGTTGGTTTGGGGGGGGCCTTTTGACCCTCACTCGGGTATGCTGATAGTCAAGATTTCTAGTTTATATGTACAGAAAGTGTGATTACTCCGATGACAATTGTCACGATTATTATTATTATTATCATCAATTTCGTAATTTCGAGTAACTGAGATCTTCAAATGTATAAAAAAAAGTAACTTGGAATATACACACAATAACAAAAAATGTATGTATATACAATGTTTTACTTGCTCACTTCTTCAATTTATATGACTATGTTGTTTAAATTGTTCAAGTGAAGTTTCCGGAGCGGTTTTCGCTGTTGGTTGCCATGGTAACGGTGGCGGATAGTTTAGCTAGACGCTCTATATATATTTATGCATATTTTCTCTGGCTGATTCATGATGTCTTTCAAAAACAATTATACAGTTACAAAAAACAACTTTTGCTTTGCCTTTCCTTCTTTCGTATTTCACATAAAATGTGTTTCAGCACTGAGTTGTGTTGTACTCAGATTGCTTTGTCCCTCTTTCTCACATCTCTGTTCCTCTTCATCCTTCACTTACCCGCCCCCTTGCTGCCTATTTTATCTTTCTACCATGCATAAATATTTATTACAATTGACATCACGAACCGAATCCATCAGTTTGGTGAGGCATCGGACACCAAGGAGTATTGGCCAGTTGCTTCGTTCAACCGCTTACTAACTGTCTAGTTGCACTCCTCGGTTTCCAGTCATTCTCCAAACTGATATATCAGTTCGTGATGTATTCAACAGTGAAGTATTATTTATCACGCCTTCAAAATATCCCAAATCCTGAATTATTGATTTGTTCTCTTCTGTTTCTGTTGTTGTGATTTCTAATCCCTTGATCTAATTGATCATGTGCCTTCCTCTATTACTGCTATTACTATTATTACTATTATTAATATTATTACTGTTATTGTTATCAATAATATTGTTACTATGGTTTGTCAGATATTTTCATATAACTTAATTATCACTCAATTACTCAATAAATGCATACTAAAATAAACTAAAAACGAAGAAGAACTATTATACTGCCGTAAATACTCGTGTTAATTCTATTTATGTCTGTCAGTCTGTATGTAGGGATATTTGTGTGTGTGTGTGTGTTGGTGTATGCGTTCACGAGACCTCTTTCTCTCTCTCTCTCTGCCTTTGTGAAAAAAATTGGCAAAAGTATTTACCACCACGACGACAAAGTTAAACTATCACAATCCAGGGAGTGTGAATGCACGTGTGACCTTCGGCTGACCAATCAGGAAATAAAGTGGCTGTCGTATAAAAATGACGTTTAATAACAACAGAAATACATTAAACAGGATGATTTTCCCTGATATGACTTAAAAACACCTCTAAATTATAATGAGGAGTATCAGATTTTAAGTTGGATCAGTTTCTGTGCATGTATTCACTGAGGTTGTAACAGCAGAAGACAAGGGCCAGGCCAGGAAAAAGATCGTTTATTGAGAAAATCAACAGATATTTATAGATTTTTATGTAAGTTATTGTTAGCGGAGAAGCAACGTCTTCTGATTGGTTGCTTTCTTGCTGAAAGTTGTTCTGTACTGCTTGTGACTGTTTCTTAGAAAGTTAAGCCATATACCTGCGAATCGTATTTGCACACGCTAAGTGTGCTGTGATTGGTCGTTGATTTCCTCAAGGTTAAACTTTGTTATTGTTTTTTTCTCATGACTCCTATTCGGGGCGTAACATTGACGTAAATTGTTGTCTACAATTTTGGCTAGCGGACAGCTCTCACCACAAGGTGACTAAAGAAGAGTTCTTATTGTGATCCATTTATCGCTGTTATCCTGCTTTTCAGTCTTTCCTAAATAACTTCGATTGAATTATTATGCGTTTAATTAAGAGGATCGGCAACCATGTACTAGGAAAATGCGGATAGGAAAAACAAATAATACTAACCTAAAATCCAACCGAAATTGTAGCTCTTGTCCTAACCCTAATCGTGACCGTAACCCTAACGAGCTATTAACACATTGTCCAAACAGTACTCTAAAACGAGATGGGGATGAAACTTTCACCTCACTTCATGAATAGTGTTCACATAGTGACACTATGGTAATAGTACGTCTCGTTATTCAACGGATATTATGCGTTCAAGGACGTTGGAGCGTTCGCACTCTTAGGCCGTTATACTTTAACTTGACCTCCATGACATGTGTTTGCTAGCGTTTTAGGGCTTGGGAGTGCAGTGTTGTACTACTTTGGCAAGAATAATGTTGGTGTTGACTTGTTTCTACTGTAATAAAAAGATTCATCGAAAAATATTCCCAGTGCTTAATCAAAAAATCTTGACAGGATGGTGAAGGAACTCCGTTTGAATCCTAGTTTGGAAGACTCCAGCAATACGCACTCACTGAGGTAAGGTAAGCTCGTAGACCGTTCAACCATTGAGACCAGATGATCTAATGTTCCCTGACGTCTCACTTCTGCTAATTTGCGGTATGCAAAGCTCAATCTCCAGCCAATGTCACAAATAAGTAACTGTCCTCTTGCCCAACTTACTGGATCCTGCTGTTGGTTGCAACTTCCCGGTAGAACTCCAGCTGACCTCGTGTATAGAGCCAGTTTCTCTAGCGAACATTGAATGTGGGCTTGTAGGGATTTGACTGATTACGAGTTGTACTTCCTGGTTTCCCAGTAGTTCTCTTAATGACTTCAACTCGTGATCGATCCTGTAGCCAGTCCAATCCACACTGGGGCTATACAGAATCCTGTAAGTAATTTCTTGCAAAATATTTACTCCCCCCCCCGTATAGAATCTTCCTGTAAGGACCTTCATCGACAGTAATATCTCATGACATCAACTTCATTCTGTCCTAAAACATGATTCAATCTTCTACAACATTTTTCCTTCACTGTCTTCTTGAAGTACTACACAAAGTGGTAGATTCAGAGTCAATTTAAAAATCCACGTGAGTTCATGTTGAAATTCAAGGACATAATTGGAAGATTCAAACAAAAAGAAATAGAGGAAATTATGAAGTATTGTGCTAAATTAGCCTAGTGGTTTAAGAGCGTTGGTATTTGTTCAGTGGTGAAACATTCACCAACAAGGCCTCAAATGGTCCGGTGTTCGACCTCTAGCCGACACACTCCTAAACCTCGTTAAGCCAGTATTAAGACCAATGAAGACGGAAGGTGGAGCATGAGGCTAACGATCCCTTGCACGTGGAAAAAATAAACACCACTGCTACTGAAACCTAAAAGCCCAAGCTTAAAACCCCATGTTCCACTGGGAACCCAAAAGAATAAAATAAAAAGGTGGTTTTAGCTGGCCACTAGCATATCGTTGACTCCTAACTTGTTTGGTTCTCCATTGAATTCAATGGAGTCGAGCAGACATCAATCTTATCTCATAATAAGCGTATGTCTAGAATTATTAGAGGTCCAGTTAGGAATTACAAAAAGGTATTCAAAATGATCTACATTGGAGGAATTCAAGTAAGATAAGGGATTGGTATCAGTCAGAGAAGTACTGAAAAACAAGGAGTACCGAATAACTGTTTCGTCCTAGTCTAGGACCCATTAGCATTGCTCACCCATGACCCAACCAGAGGACATTGCATTAAGCAGCGAAATTACAGATACGTCTTATTAGTGATTCCACGTATACAGAATCTTCACCGTAAAAATTTGCATTAATATGCATCAGTTGAAGGTGCCACATTTCATAGAACCACACATAGAGACATACAAGGAAACTATAATAAACACAAATGCACTGAAGATAGAATTAGAATATTAGAATGATTACACGGCAAACAATGAGAAGCTGGATGGATACATAAGATCACAAAATGTGAATACATCTGTTCCATCGAAAACAGTCTTGAGCCATGTGACCGACAGTCACCAGTTATTGGATCTTAGATACTCGAGAATCCAAGTCAAGGAGTTTGGACTTCTCTACCTCACTCAAAGTAACGGTCAAATCTTCAGGGATTGACACAAGGTTTTATTGACCACCTTATAACATCTAACACTATAGAACTGATGCAAACAACTGTGATTAAAGACACCTAGTTTCTTCATATCACTCACTTTCATCTGCCATGTATGAAAGCTGTAAAGGTAGCCATAAGGAACGGCTGCTCAGGACACACGTCTTTTGATCGACTAATATTATTATTATTCCCTTGGGTTCCGAGTGGAACATAGGGCTTCAACAACACATCTCCACTTTCTTCTATTTCCTGCCGTCCTCTTCGGCTGACCCTACGATTGCCCATAGCCCCTCACCTCTTCCTCGCACGATTTTCTTGAGGTCACCCTTAGACAGACCGGTCATTTACTATTCATCTTCCACTCAAGCAATGGCCTGGCGCTTGACGTCACCCATCGGTCTTCTCAGCGTGTGCCCAATCCATCTCCATTTTTTTCTACATATTTGTTGAGGAATTGATGCTTGCTTAGGTCGTTCGCAGAGTTTCTTGTTGGTAATTATTTCTAGCCCGTCATCTGATCTTCAGTATGTAGCCAGAGAAGGCAGCCGTTAATAAACGTTCGCCACAGCCTGTTCGAAATGACTTTTGTCACGCGCCAAGTTTCTGGTCTATATAGAAGAACTGACTGACTTAATACTGGTCTTGGAAATCCGAATTTCGTGTTTTTTGCTGAGTGCAGAAGATTTCCGAAATGATTTCAGACTGATGAAAATCTGCATCACTTTTCCGATTCTGGCTGGCTTTGAAATCTTTGTCCGTTCCACCTACAGTTGAAACATTGACTGCAATTCTTCAAGTTTGCTTGATATTAAACATAAATCATCAGCGAAATCCAGATATTCTAGAGCCCTCTTATCGGTGATCAAACGTACTCCTGTCTCCTCGCTCCCCACAGTCTGACGCATAATCCAGTCCACCACAACTAAGAATATCACCGGTGATAATAGGCAGCCAGCCTCGTCTAACTACTGTATCGAACGCCTCACTGAGTTTTCCGTTGTGGATCACCTGACATATGGCATTGTCAAACAGTGAGCTGTTGAATGAAGTTGATAAAGACAAGGGCACTGCACTCCGTAATGTTGAAGTAGTTTCCAAATTACTTGTCGATCGATAGCTGGATATTTTATCCCAAATAACATACTTATGGAGACTGCCTAGTTAAGAGAAAGGAAAACGGACATTTTAGTATATCCATATTCAGGAAGAAAACCCACTCAAATAAATATTTAGACTTCAAGTCATCACACCCCATCAGCGTAAATATTTCAGTTGTTTCAAGTCTTCTTAGACGAGCACACTCTGATAACTGACGAGAAAGAAAAAGAAGAAGGAATTTCAAACATTACTGAAACTCTCAAGCAAAACAACTACCCAAGGAACTTCATCAACAAAATCAACACAGACATTAAGTATGGCCGAAAACGCATTCCGAAAACATGGACCTCAACAGTCGTCATTCCATATAGAGCAGAGACGTCAGACGATATCAGAAGAGTACTCAATCAGCTCGACATTAGAGTTTTCTTCAAAATATCAAACACACTTCAAAGCAACCTTGTCTATATTAAAGACCAAATCCCTAAAGATTCTCTATCTAATTGTGTCTACAAAATAAAATGCTTGGAATGTGATGCGATATACATCGGACAAACACCTCGAGAAATCAAAATCAGAAGAAATGAACACCGTTGAGCATCAATTCGACCACCAAGAAATCAAGGTAGTGAACTAGAAAAGCTTGAAAAATAAACAGCCATAGCTCGTCTACACGCGACGCCATATAATCAGGCCACAAAATTGATTTTGACAATATTGAAATAATCCAGGAAAAGCATTTCAGAAATCACAAAGAACGTCTAACATCATCAGAAGCACTTCATATCAAGTGGAATCCTAATTGCCTGAATAGGAATGATGGATTAAACAGAATCTGGCCTGGTTACAACACCTCCCTCCCCCACCAAGTGACAAAATCAACACGAATGTGATAAGAAAGTTCACTATGTAAACAACACACTGCTTTTATAATTTTACACTGATCAAATCCAACAATCTACACTTGGTTTTGTT